TTTGGTATGATACTAAGTAAATTAATTTGAATTATATGGTCTTTTGTGTTATACTGGCTCAATTTACCCCTAAGCAATTAATATTTCTTCAGTAATTTAGGTCTTTCCTATATGTTTATTCTGCCTTAACTTTTACACGTTATACTTCCTTTCACCTCCCCTCCTCCCAGCAAAATGTAACTTTGAAGATGGGCTATTTCATTTTCTTTGTTTTTGTATCCTCAGTGCCTTACATATTAAGTGCTTAAAAATATTTGTTTATTGAACTGAATTTTCCATCTCTTTTTCTTCCTTCTGGTTTCATCTATGAATGTTCTTGGATGATTTGGCAAGCTTTCTGCAGACTCATTTTCACCCACTGCTTTTCATCATTTTGTGAGGCAATGCTGCTTATAGTATTCTTCCATTGTTCACCTTAGTATTTTGCAGATAAGTTTAAAATATAAACTTGTGTTGCCTTTGGCTGCCATGTCTCTTGGCTTGACAAAAAGAACCAATGTTTGTTAACTGAGGTGCTTTCTGGGCTTTTTAAGCCTCTTCGTTATGGCAGCTGCTTTATATGGGTAAACTTCAGTAGGAACTGGCCATAATTGACTCAGGTCTTTCCTTTTATCAGTTTCTTTTTTCAGCCTGTGAAATAGAGGGGGGAAAACCCATTTCCACTATTGGAAAAGTACCTCAAATTATTTCCCATACTAATAGTAGATGATAGGATGATCTTTCTATCTGAAATATGAAACATTATTTAGCCTCAGACACACATTATTCTTCACCGATGGTTACTTTTTACATCAGTTCAGACACTTAGTAGATGTGTGATCTTGGGCAAGTGTCATTTTTAGCCTTTGCCTGCTTCACTTTACTTAACTGTGAAATGAGGATGCATTGTGAAGATCAAATGACATAATTTGTAAAGTTTTTGGCACAGTGCCTGGCACATGGTAGATGCTTAATAAGCTTGTGTTTCCTTCCTTTCACCCCACTAAACAGCAGCTGAAGGATCATCTGCAAATTGGCATCCTTCTACTCCAGCTGTACTTTCTGTCTCTCTTGTAACTGAGGGCTAATAAACCTGCTTTGCCTATGAGTATCCCCCCTTATTGTGGGCAGTACAGGTTAGTAAGGGTGTGGTCAAGGTGAGTTATGGGAGGAGGCATTTTCAGAGACTCCTCTTTTTTTGTAGTCCAGATTACCTGCCTAGTGAAGTTTTTCTTTTCATAAAACCCAGGTGCATTCTCTTTCATCCTCTGTTTTAAATTTGATAATTCCTTTCTTCTATTTAAAATCCTTTTTTTTCCTCTTTAGATTGTATCTTCTCTGTCTTCCTTGTTTGGGGTTTTTTCCTATCTTCCTACTCTCTGACCTTTTTGATTATCTTCAAATATTATTCATTAAATGCAAGGCTACCTGTGGGGGTGTTAGTCACTGTGCAATACAAGCCGAACAGAAAAGGTAACTGCCTTCTGAGGCTTCAGCAGGGCACCACAGAAGGAACTCTGGATTGAGAGCAGAATAGAACCTGGGTTCTAATCCTTGATTAGCTGCTGGCTAGGCCACTTTCTTTGCGCATTAGGTGGTACAGAGGATAGAGTTCTGGGCCTGTTGTCAGGAAGACAAAAGTTCAAATTCAGCTTCAGACACTTGCTACCTGCATGACCCTAGGCAACTCACTTAACCCCTATTTGCCTCAGTTTCTCATCTGTAAAATGGGAACACACTGGAAAAGGAAATGGGAAACCACTCCAGTATCTTTGCCAAGAAAACCCCTTGGACAGAGTCCGTGGGGGTCACATAGTCAGACATGGCTGCATGAATGAACAGCAGGCTATGAGAAAGGCCCTTAAACTCTGTGGACCTTAGTTTCCCCATCTGTGAAAGTGAAAGAGTTGGAGTGAGATAACTTCTCATTCCAGATGTGCATCCCAGAGCAGCAGTTTTCCATCTCAAAGCCCCTCACAGCCTGACCAGCTGCTTCTCTTACACTTGGATTCTCTTCAGGGCCAAGATGGGAATTGCCAAGGATCTGCTGGATTTAAATGAATGAAGGAGAAAATTCCCTATCACGAGGTCACTGCTTTGATGTTGGGTGCCTTTGGCAGGGCACGAACCGTGTGCTGTCCCTCTCAATAAAGGGTTTGGCTCGTGAGCTTGCTCTTGTAGATGTCAGAGGAGACAACCTGAAGAAAGAGATAATGGAGCTCCAGCGTGGTAGCCTTTTCCTTGAATATCAAAGATCATCTATGGCAAAGACAGCAGCATGATTGCTGACTCAAAGCTGGTATTGTCACAACAGATTCACCCAGCAGAGGGAGGATGTCGCCTTAATGTGATGCAGTGTTAATGTGAACATTAAATTCATCCCCCTTATCACCATTCATTCCCGTTATCATCCAGTATACCTCTAATTGAAAGCTGCTTCTTATTTCCAGGCCAGTGGGTATTTTGCCATGTGGCCTCTCCCAAACAATACTTCTGGAAATGATTGCAATCTGAATTCCACTTATTTCATAATGGAGGAGGGACGTGATGTCCACTCTTCAAGTTGTCACAAGTCGGTTCTTGAGGAGCATGGAGAATCTAGCATGACAGTATAGAGTAATGTGAATGTCACAGATGTCTGCGAAGAATCTTCATTTTGACTTGGGAACTGATGTGAATTCAGGACATTGGAAAGATGTTCATAAACAAATGGTTGAAAGTACTCAAATTGAATACAAATTGAAGTATGGTTTTTCATTTCACTTTCTTCTTTTGCAACATGGCTAATATGGAAATATTTTGCATGATAATTGTATAATTGATATATTGCTTGCCTTCTCAGTGGCTGGGGGAAGGGCTTGGAGAAAGGCAGAGAATTTGGAACTTGAAATTTAAAAAAAATGAATGTTGAAAATAAATAATTTTTGAAAAGAACTCATGAAGTAATCAGTCTAAGGAGATATACATGCTAAGCCTTTGGCTGTCTGTGGCAAATTTGGCAGGAAGCATAATGAAGAATCTTAGGAGGGTGCATTCCATTTCTACCACGATTAAAGCCACCTTGGAATGACGGATGATGTCTTCCTCAGAGTCCTATGTATTTGGGAGCAAAAATGGCATTTCAGATGTGCTGAAGGTAAACTTGACTCCAAGGAGGAGGCCCATTTAAAGAAGAGTATAGTTATACTTTGGGGAATCCAAAAGGACCTACAATTTCAAAGTTTTAAAAAGTTCTTTTTATTATTGTCTAGAGAACATAACAAGTAGCTAAGTGATTGTATATGATGAACTTTTCAAATAGCTCAAATCCTTTATCTGATTAGTGATTGAGCACCAACTATAGATCTGAAATATAAACCTGCAAATGTTAGTCTCCTTTGAAGTTAGAAATGGCGAGATGGCACCTTCTCTTTGTTAAACTCTTGTTTTTATACTGATGCTGGATAGTACTTGTTTCATGTAGTCATTAAGTGTTGATATAGAGTAGGTCCATCTTCCTCTTGTATCACTACCTGCCTTATGTGTGCCGTAGTGACCCTTCCAATTAGGAGACGCTTTATCCTTCTGACTCCTTGGTACAAAACACCTTACAGTAATTCTCTGCAGAGGGATTCCATCTATCCCCCTTTCTACTAAGGCTCCACAGCTTGTCCCTATATATAACCTTCCTAGAGGACTTTAGTTGTCTAGTATACACGTATATATTAGTTATATATTAGACAAATATGTAATCTACATATAGATTATTGATATATTTACTATACATATCAATAGTTATAGATTTCCTCATGTAAACAATGCATCTGATTCTTCAAATACATAACTCAGATACTTTAAAAAAATCATGAACAGCTCTTTTAAAAAGATTTTAATTCTAGCTCTAAAATTCAAAGTTGTTTAAAAGATGTGGACTGTATTTTATCTGGCAGAGACAGTGGGGAAATGGAAAGATCAGTTGGAGGATATGACTCGATGTGGTTTGATTAACACTATAGCTGCAGAGTGGGGGTATTTTTCTGCGTATTATCCTGCACCCTGAATAGAGGAGAGTGGGAGTGGAAGAAGCACAGGATTGGGAGTCAGCCCAAATTCTGGCCCAGATCCTTTCTGACATTGGTCACGTTTGTGACCTCGGGCAAACCACTTACCTTAGCTGTGCTTCAGCATCATTACTTGTAAAAACAAGGGCTTCAGACTCAGCTAGCACCTAAACCACCAGCACTGGGTTTGGAGTCAAGGATCTGGGTTCAAAACCTGACTCCCTCACCTTCTGTCTGTATGACCTTGTACAAATCACTACCTTTTTGGCTCTCATTTTCCTCATCTGTAAAATAAAATGGATGAACTAAATGCCTTTTAAGGTCTCTTCATCCTCTACATCTATGATCCCATGTCCCTTTTCAGTTTTAAATCCTCCAGCCTTAGCATAATCGTTCCTTAATGCATTAAGGTTCCCTTCAGGTCAATCAAGAAATAAATAAAGATTTATTAATTATTACTAACTGTGTGGCAAGCACCGAGTGCTAATGTTACAAAGATTAAAAAGAAAAGCAGTACCTGTCCTCAAAGGGACATATACACACATACAACACATACACATGTGTGCTTCTGGCTACAAGGCACTGAGTTTGTATTGGAGGTTGAATAGTGTAGTGTAAAAAGCGTGAACTTTGTCCTTGGGGAGTTTAACACTCTCAGTAGGGAAACATGCCATGTGCTTGTGAAACAGCTGCTAGAGGTGATTACAAGTGACTTTGAGGGAAGCGGGCCATGTCTTCATTACGTTTGTTTCTGCCAGCCAGATTATTTGTGCATAATGCTTTGCTTTAATAAATGATTGTTGGATAATGAATCAGGCAGTGAGAGAACACTATCAGATCATGTTGATTTATTTTTTGTAAGCAGCCTAAAAGTGTGAGATGACAGTCTTTTCAGGATATCCACAAGGTACATAATGAACCTGGGTGATTGGCTGTATTTACTTGTTTATTTATAGTACCATTTCCTTTTGTGTCTTACAGTGACCTATGGGATGGTGAGTTCCAGCATGTACTACTACACCAGGGTAATGTCGCAGCTTTTCTTAGAAACACCTGTGTCTAAAATGGAGAAAACAAATTTCAAGACGCTCTCCACAATGGAAGACTTCTGGAAGGTATTTGAAAATACTTCTCTTGATCACTGAAAAGTGTCATTTGTCTTCGTCAGCCTGGTTACACGGCTCTCCAGGGTAGCTATGCTCATTAAGGCCGATGGCGAGGTGAAAAGAACCTTGATATGGAGTCCGAGCACCAGCGTTCGATCTCGGCTCTGCCAGAGATGTGTCTGTGGTTCCACATGCCATCGAGCAAGTATTTTAACCTTTCTGAGTCTCAGTTTTTTTATCTTTAAAATGAGAAAGCCAAGCTGGGTGACTCTGTCCTGGTCTCAATCTATGACCCTCTGACATTCCCTTGTTTAGGACACGTGATCCTGAGATCAAACAGGCCTCCTCCTGCCATGTTGCACTGTTTGCCCATGTTGGACCTGCAATTCGTGAAAACCCCAAGATCATCTTCATGTGAACTGCTCTCCAGCCACACTTGACCTCTCCTGTGATGATCTAGTGGATTTGTTTTAACCCAAGTGTAGTAGACTACCAATCTAGTTGTCTACTGCTGTTATTCAGTTGTTTTTTCAGCCGTGTCCAACTCTCCCTGATCCCATTTGGGGTTTTCTTGGCAGAGATACTGCAGTGGTTTGCCCTTTCTTTCTCCAGCTCGTTTTACACATGAGGAAACTGAGGCAAACAGGGTTAGGTGGCTTGCCCAGGGTCACATAGTTCTAAGTGTTGGAGGCCATGTTTGAACTCAGGTGCTCCTGACTCCAGGATGGCACTCTACTCACTTGCACCACCTAGCTTCCCCTAACAGTCTGGTAATCCTGTACAGAAGAAAATGAAATTAGTCTGGCATGACTTCTTGAAGTTTTTCATGTAGCTATGCTGGCTGCTTGTGGTCATTGTTTCCTTTACTAGCTGCTTGCATACCATCCCTTAAATAGCATATTCTAGAATTTTTCCAGCAACCAAACCCACACTTGCTGGTATATAGTTGGCAGATGCTATTGTCTTTTCTGTTTGAAAATTGAAACAATGTACAGCTGGGTTGTAATTAATATGAGTTCGAATAATGCAAAATAGATTTAGTGTAAATAATAAAATTATATCAGGTCACATTTAGTATAAGGCACGTTAATGAAATGTGTGAATTAGTTGAGGATTTTAAGGTGCTGTTATGTCATCAGTCTGCATTTGTCTATTGTCACATGTAGATATAATCTACTGCTGCAAACCTTATTACCAACAGTTATATTACATTTTTTTAAAAAAGACTTCTTCAAAATGGAAGAAAGAAGAATGCTTCAGATGGAAACACAGCTGATGCAAAAGAAGAGACTTGTTCTTATAGTAAAACAAAAATTTGATGTAATTGAATGCCATAATGTGGTCATTGTAGCTCTAAAATATGATGAAATGTTAGAATGCTGAATGTACAATATGGAATATTATAAAATGTGCAGGAAAATTTTTTTTAAAGAAAAAGGGAAAGGAGAGAGAGAATTTGGAACTCAATATTTTAGAAAACAAATGTTAAAAATTTTTGCATGTAATTGGGGGAAAAAAAGAATATAATTTTTTTTAAAAGCCAAAATCTCATCAGCTTCTGTGATTTGCTAACAACTATAAGGAATATGGTGTTTCAGTGAGAGAAACAGAGTGTCTTTTAGCTGTATGGATTAAAGATGGCGATCAGAAATGCAGTTCTAGGGGTGGCTGGGTGGCACAGCGGATAGAGTACTGGCCCTGAAGTCAGGAGGACCTGAGTTCAAATTTGGCCTCAGACCAAACACTTGACACTTACTAGCTGTATGACCTTGGGCAAGTCACTTAACCCCAATTGCCTAAAAAAAAAAAGAAATGCAGTTCTTTTAGCAGAGCAGTCATTCAGAACAAAGTTTCAAGTCTGTTCAAAGTAATGAAAGACAATGGAAGTGAAATGGAAGTGAAGCTCTTCCTCCACGTCTGTCACCTGAAACACTGAATTCAATAACATAATGTTAAAATTCCTGGACAAGTGACCAGTGCAGTTGAAGACAAAGAAGCTAAATATCCTGATATTTTGAAGAAAATAATTGAAGAAGGTGTATATATTGATGAATAAGAAGGTTTTAATGTAGCTGAAACAGGTTTATTCTGGAAATAAATGTCTTCTAGAACTTACGTTTCTCAGAAAATATTCAATATGGATTTAAAGTGTTGGATGACACTTTTATTGGAAGGTAATGAAGCATAGGATTTCAAATGTAAACTACTACTTGTTTTGTTGGCCTGGAAAATCCTAGTGGCTACATCGACCGCTTTCTTTTCTTTGGTCAAGTAAGAAAACATGTATGATGAAAGCTTACTTTTGAATCTTGTTTTTAAAGTTTTTAAAGTTTTATTTTAGCCCAGCTGTTAAAAAATACTGCAGGGACAATAATATTGCATTTAAATTATTGCTGATTTCAGTCAACCAACTACACGAAGGTTCACTTAGTGAGAATGTGAAAGTATGTAGATTTTTTTTGCCATGAAATCCAGCATCTTTATCGCAGTCCGTAGACTAAGGATCTTTCCAAATAAGTTGCAACAACATTACAACTAAGGTCTACTACTTTAGGAAAACTTTTGAACAAGCAATTGCTAAAATTAGAGGCATCTATTTAATTTCCTTAACTGACTTCTGGAAAAAATTATAACATCAAAGATGCAATCAAAAACATTCACTATGCTTGGCAACAAATTACTGCAATCAGCATTTGCTGGTGGATGTGGAAACACATTTTGCCACATTGTACAAATAGTACAAATAGTAATTTTGAAAGTTTTCCCTCTGAGATGCAGACTGTTACAAACATTGGAAGGAAAATTTGGCTTTGATAAACTAGAAAATGACAGTGTTTGAAAATTGCTGGATACACAGGCAGAAGAATTGACAGATTATAATGTTCATTAAGATTAACCAATGTTTGGAGAAGCTAACTGACATGCACTGAATTGAATGGTATTGTTGATAAGAACAGGGAAATCTGAAAGGAGAGAGCTGATTGTGGGAAATGAGATGTCAGAGACAGAAATTAAAATGTGTAAGTCATCTACATAGACGTTGGACCTTTGGAAGTGGATGACATACAGATGATAAAGCAGAAACCAAGGGAAAAGCTAGAAGACTCACACCGAATCCCACATTCTTCAGGAAGCCTTTCCCCATTCCCAGCTGCCTTTTCCCCTGAGATTACCTTTAATATATAGCAGATATATCTTGAATATGCATAATGTTTTCTCCCTCTTTCAAATATGAGCATCTTGAGGTCAGGGTCTGTTATTGTCTTTTTTTAATCTACAACATTTAGCACCATGCCTGGCATTTATTACTTTATGAATGAATGAATGAGTAAATAAATAAATAAAGGCTAGCATTTATGTATTTAAGATTTGCAAAGTATTTTACACATATTATTTGATTTTATCCTCACAACAGCTCTGGGAAGTAGGTGCTATTATTATCCCCATTTTAAAGATGAGGAAACTGAGGCAGGCAGAGTGACTTGCCCAGAGTCACACAGCTAGTAAGTATTTGAGGCCAGATTTGAACTCAGGTCTTCTTGATTCTAGGTCCAGCACTCCATCCACTTAGCTATCACTAGTTCACCACTAGTTTAGCTTCTCCTGCTTCACCCCCCCAATTTTTTAACATTTCTATTTAAAGTTTTGAGTTCCAAACTCTATTCCTCCCTCGCCTCCCCCCTCCATGAGATGGTAAGCAATCAGATATTGATTATACATGTGCAATTATGTAAAACATTTCCATATTAGTCATTTTGTACAATAAGACTCAAAAGAAAAAAACAAAAGGAAGAGTGAAAAATAGCATGCTTCAGTCTGTATTCAGTCAATATCAGTTCTTTCTCTGGAGGCAGATCAGTATGCTTCATCATTAGTCCTTTGGGATTGTCTTCTGTCATTGTATTGCTGAGAACAGCTAAGTCATTCACTGTTCTTCATTGAATGATATTGGTTACTGTGTACAACATTCTCCTGGTTCTGTTCATTTCACTCAGCATCAGTTCACCTAAGTCTTTCCAGGTTTTTCTGAAATCATCGTACTTGTCATTTCTTATAACACAATAATGTTCCATTACAACCATATGCCACAGCTTGATTAGCCATTCCCCAACTGATGGATATCCCTTTGATTTCTAATTCTTAGGCACCACAAAAAGAGCTACTATAAATATTTTTGTTCAGATAGGTCCTTTTCCCCTTTTTTTGGATGTCTTCAGGTTATAGACCTAGCAGTGGTATTGCTGAATCAAAGGGAATGCATGGTTTTATAGCCCTTTGGGCATAGTTCCAAATTGCTCTCCACTGTGGTTGGGTCAGTTCAAAGTCCACCAGTAGTAAATTAGTGTCCCAGTTTTCCCATATCCCCTCCAACATCTAACATTTTCCTTTTGTTGTCATATTAGTTCTACTGCTTTTAATAGCTACTTTTTGACAAAAAGATTCAGTTCTGTTCCTTAATGCACTCGGAGTTCTTTCCTCAGCTCGCAGTTCAGTTCAGTTCCCAACTCAGCTATGTTCCATGCTCAGGTCTTCTCAAAGATCCCAGCAGCATGTGACAAGGCATTTTCTTACAAGCAGGAAATAATAATGAAGACTCTGAGGTCTGTTCCTAGAACTATCCCAAAGTCCCTCCTGGTGCCAGTTCTGAGGACTTCTCAGACCAAGTTTTGAGGTCTCTTCTGACCCTAGGAAGTCTGGTCCTGGTCAACTCTGCTGTACTAGAGTCTCCAGTATGAAATTATCCCCCTCTTTTTCATGGTGAGAAACCAAAAATGAACATTTCTTCCAGCCAAGTCACCACTGTGCAATATTTATTTGTCCCATAGTCCCTAAGTAGTTCTAAGCAGAAGGCTTTCCAGCTATCTACCTTGAAGACCTCATATTTGTCGTATGCAAATTAGATGCTGGAAAACAAGATAATTCTGCTGTCTTTACTCTGGGTGAGCCATCTTTTCTCTAATGTTTCTCTCACAACTGTCCTCATTTCTTACCATGTCTATTAGTAAAATTATTCAGATCAAAAAGGGATACCACTTTACATAGTGAAATCAGTCATATCTGTTAACTGAAATCAGGAGATGATGGGCCAAAATATGAGTTAAATTTGAGGTGACAAAAAGAATGTGGTTAAAGAGAAAAGGTTAGAGAGGAAGATAGAGGATGAAATAGTTTTTCAATATTTTGTCAGACCTCAGAACCGTGCATAAAAAGTAAGCTCATTGCAGTGGTCTCCACTAAGACACTAAGAAGCCTAATAAGGTATAAAACTGGAAATTGATTTTAGTTCTAAGACATAGTCCAGCTGGCATAAGTTAACTAACTCTTCCGTGTGTGAGTCTAAACTCCTTTTCCTAACTTACTCCTGTAACTTCACCCTTCATGTACATTCTGGAGAAACTTCCCTAAAGGTCAGACTTTTGTCTTGTAATTACCTCTACCCTTTATGCTGGTAGTCTTGATATTTGTATTCTGGGATCCACTCAGAAATTCCTTTCTTGATGCAGTATTGTCTGTCATTGCTCTACTATTCATACCTTCACCCCATGATTCTGTGGCAACAAAGTGATAGATCTCAATTCTGCCCCTCACCACTAACTTGGCCGGAGGAGTCATAGTAAAGCAGAAGCCTGCTCTGGCTAGGGAAGGAGGGCTCTGTTAGAGGGGACCCCGGGCATTGTAACAATGGGTGTGGGAGTTGAGGGGGGTGCTGCATCAGGCCTGAAGGAAAGGAGAATGGCCTCCATCAGGACCCAGGTCTGTACCCCCAGAACTCATGTGGAGCAGGAATTAAGGCGAGTAAAAAGTGATTTCTCCAACTTGGGAGGAGGCTGAGATATTTTTAAGGTCCAACCCTTGGTGGAACCTCCATTAAAGGAGTCAAAAACTGAATGATAGGGAGATATAAGGCGAAAAAGAGTGAATTTACTGATGATCTTAGGAGGAGGAAAATTCAGTTAATCTTGAGCACAAACAGAAAAATCACCAGGAAAGATATTAATAACAGTCGGGGAAAGATGGTGACCAGGACATCTAGAGGAGCCTGAACACATCTGATTCAATAGTTCAAGACAAAGGAAATTGAACCAACGCCTGATGAGCAGAAGAGTCTGAATTCCTAAGAGAGCACGGAACCACAGCAGAATATTCCTGAAAGGTTCAAGAAAAAAATTTTTTCCTGATTTCTTTCATTGCTTTTGTAAGCAGAATTGCTGACCTCCACAGCAGAAATAATTGGCAGAATTAAATAAAATGAATCCAGCATGGATTACTTGCTCAGGTCCAGAAGGGAATTAGGAGCTTTATTAGTATCAAAAACATTTGGAATAACTACTATTAGACATGTTACCAGAAAGTCTGCAAAGGTTGAAAAGAAAGATTTGCTGGGTATCAGTAAGGGCTTTCTTGAAATTTGAGTATATTTGTTTATAGTGCCTTTCAAGTGTGTGAAGATGTTTTTCCCTTCTCAACTACTTGTCAACCTTCCCCCTACAAATTGTTTCCACTAAATTTACTTAACAAAGCATTTACAAAAACATTTTCAAAGATAAACTGAAATTCAGCTCTGTCAAAATTATCATAAATGTTTAAATAGTGGGAGTTTGAATTGACAAAGTACATAGAAAAAAGATAAGCAGAGAATGTGAAACTCAGAAAATCTTTATGAATCAGTGATTGCTTTTCATAGTCATGAACAAAATGTTTATTTTTCAATAAGCAAAAACCCTGTTAAAACTTGGGATCAGAGCTGCTGATTTTGTAGAAAAATTAATTTTTTAATTTTGACTGCATTTTCCATTGACCCAAGAACTCTTTCATGAACCTAGCTCATGAGTTCTTTGTATTGGGAAGACTGACACTGTTTGTTTGTTTGTTTGTTTTTTGCAATTGGGGTTAAGTGACTTGCCCAGGGTCACACAGCTAGTAAGTGTCAAGTGTTTGGTCTGAGGCCAGATTTGAACTCTGATCCTCCTGACTTCAGAGCTGGTGCTCTTATCCACTGTGCCACCTAGCTGCCCCAAAGACTGGCAGTCTTTCTCCCTCCATTACATCCTTGCCTTGATCCTATTAAATACACTTCCCCATCTCTAACACTCATCAAGGTCAATGGCAATTCCACCCCAAGGCTAGAATGGACCCTGGTTCTTAGGGACATCTAGGGATGTGGTTGGGCCCTGGGAGACAAAACAGTCCCCTTCTCTTCTTAGTCCCTTGGGAGAGGGTATGTTGGGGGTTCAAAGCCCCTGTTGCTGTTCTGTCAGTGACTGCTGGTCCAAAGAGTTTGGGGGAGATGGAAGCCCCTTGGCTAGAGAGCTTAGAGTCATGACAAGTTATGTGTTTGAAATGAAATATTTAGTCTGAGCTGAGGGTTGAGTCTTAGGAAGGTTAGGTGGAAGTCCCATGCCTATTCTTCCAAACCCAGGAATGAGGTTTGGAAGTCTAAGCTTTTGGGAGTCAAATCCTAAGAAGGGCATGAGGAACAAGGACCTGGGCATTGGCACTAGGAAGAGTGGTCCCAGTGTAAATAAGGAAATCACTGTCGATTTGCAGCTGAATCAAAGCTATGTAACTGTCAAAAAAAATTATATCCCTTGTATATGCCAGTGGCATCTTATTATGTACTTTGCAAAATTCTATTCTTTATATCCTGATTCATTGAAATAGGCAGGTTCTGGGCAAGCAGGAGAGATCTGTTAGACCATTCCCTTAATACTAACAAATAATTATTGATCTTCTGTGTTCAAGTTATATGAGAGGTATTCCACAGCATACATTGAAAAGTGTTGTTCAGTTGTGTCCGACTCTTTGTGACCCCATAGCCCATAGCATGCCAGGCCCTTCCATCCTCCACCATCTCTCAAAGTCTGTCCAAGTTCGTGTTCATTGTCTCCATCTCATCCTCTGCCGTCCCCTTTTCCTTTTGCCTTCAATCTTTCCCAACACCAGAGTCTTTTCTATTGAGTCCTGTCTTCTCGCTATGTGGCCAGAATGTTTAATCTTCAGCTTCAGTAGTTGACCTGTGAATAGCCTGAATTAATTTCTTTAAATATTGACCTATTTGATTTCCTTGCTGTCTAAGGGACTCTCAAAAGTCTTCTCCAGCACCACAATTTGAAAGTGTCAGTTGTAGAGATGTGGCTTTCTTTATAGTCCAACTCTCACAGCCATGCATTGTTACAGGAAAAGTCATAGCTTTGATTATCTAGACTTTTGTCAGCGTAAGTACTGACATACATAACAAAATGATGTGTATAACCAGGAGACTCAAATACACAAGTCTGTCTTATTCTCCTGGTACAAACTGTCAGAAGCATAACTGGCTAGAATAAGAATAGGGAACACAAGGTACATCTACACTGGCAACAACCAGAAATAATGGGGAGATAATTATGACAATAGATTTATTTCAGAGCCCCTCTGGTCCTTGAGAACTCTAATTATATTAGGGTGGTGGGCATTCAGATTACTTAGGTGGCCGCATGGAAGTTTGGGGCAGCAGGAAAGATATTTGCTGATATTTTGACTTTTCAGACCTTTTCTTTTCCTTTCAGTTCACAGAGGGCTCTTTGCTTGATGGCCTCTATTGGGAGATGTGGTACAACAACAGAACGGTAGCTGAAAACCGGAGTTTCATTTACTATGAGAATCTGCTATTGGGTGTGCCCCGAATCCGTCAACTGAAAGTCAGAAATGGGTCTTGCTCTATCCCGCCAGACTTGAGAGAGGAGATTAAAGAGTGTTATGATGTCTATTCTGTCAGCAATGAAGAAAGAGCTCCGTTTGGTCTCCAGCATGGAACAGCGTATGTACTTCTTCCTCCTCTTAGGCATTTGTGCTTCCTCTCCTGTTTTTCCTATGCTTCCCTTCATTCTTTAGCAAATAGAAAACGTTGTCAGTAATTTTCCAGTGCTTATAAGCCTAGACTTTGCCAAGCATACTCTTACCTTTTTCAGAATGTATCTACCCATGAGTTTAATTTGCATGCTGCTCTTTCAGTTCTGGGTCACAGAATTTTGGAATTGTTGGGAATGGCCGAAGAATCTTCTCTGTACTATAACAAACAAGTGGTTGGGTATCCCACTGCACTTGTGCCAAGCCCAACTTCGCCTCTTTGGTACATCTACACATCACTCTTAGTTCTGCCCTTTGGGGCCAAGCTGAAGAACTCTAATTCCTCTTTTGTGTGACAGCTTTTTAAATACTATCATGGAGGGGCAGAGTCAAGATGGCAGAGTAATGGGAAGAAGTACAGCCTAGCTCTCTACGAAGATGTAAAAAACACCAGATAGAATTCTGATTGGGAAATCCAAGAAAAAGTCACAGTGAGTCATTTTTACAGTCTAGGGGGACTAGAGAGGTCTACAGATGCTAGGGAATGGTCTGGCCAGGAGATCGTCGCATGCAGAGCATGATAGCACCCAGGGACTGAAAGAAAGTTCAGACTTGCACTGGGGCAAGATAAGATGCAAGGGGATCCTGGAACTAGCACAGGGATAGGTGCAGGAATAGGTGTCATTGGCAACTCTGTCACACAAGTAATTGCAAGTTGGACTAAGATGGGGATCTGCACATGGAGTGGTGAAGAGGGGTCACTGACAGGCCCTATCATAGCAAGGAACAAGAACTGAAGGAAACAGTATCTGTGAGAATATGACCTCTAGGGCAGAGCAGGAACTTCTTTCTGCCTCCAGCCCAGGAAACCTTCAGTAAAATAACCAAGACAGGAATCCCAGACCAAAGACAAGCCTGTAGTTATGTTGCTCTGAACTCACAAAGCCTCCCAGTGAATGAATACAGCCCGAGTCCTTTAGCAGTCTACTGACATCTCCAACCAGGGATAAGCCAACAGACTCAAACTTGGGTCAGGAACTTGCAGAGCTCAAACCAGGGGGATAGTGAGTAGACAGCCTTGGATTGCTTCACTTTGGGAGCACTGAGAGCTTGCAGGTCCCCGGCCTGAGCTGTGAAAGCAGCAGGACACAAGAGAACAGAAGCTCAGCCCAGCCATCGCCCTAGAACCACAGAGAATCCAGCACTAATGTGAGGTCTAAAGTCAAGAAGTAGGCTTAAAAGAATGAGCAAACAGAAAATGAATCTCACCGCAAAGAGCTGTTATGGTGACGTGAAACTTCAAGACACAAATCTAGAAGAGAGTGACTCTAACACATCTAGAAACAAAGCCTCAAAGAAAAATGCAGCTTGGATACAAGCCCAACAAGAATTTCTGGAACAGTTAAAGCAAAAGCTAAAAGCAAGTTTAAAAAAGCTAAAAATTATTATAAAAACCAAATGAGAATAGTAGAGAAAAAAATAGGAAAAGAAATGATAGCTATGGAGAAAAAAATGTGAAAAGAGAATTAATAGCTAGAAATAAGAGACAAAGCTTTAGCCAAGAAAGTAACTTTCTGAAAATTAGAATTGACCACATAGAAGCTGATGCCTCCTTGAGAAATCAAGAAATATTAAAATAAGGTCTAAATACTGAAAAAAAAAAGACGAAAATGTGAGGTATCACATAGCAAAAACACTGACTTGGAATACACTTTAAGGAAAGATAATTTAAATATCATTGGATTACCTGAAAACTATAACCAAAAGAGCCTAGACAGTATATTTCAAGAAATCATAAAAGAAAACTGCCTAAATCTCTTAGAACCAGAGGGCAAAGTAACCTCAAAATGAAAACTCCTAGGAATATCATAGCCCAGATCCAAAGCTCCTAGAGCAAAGAAAAAATACAAGCATCCAGAAAGAAGAAAATTCAAGTACTGAAGAGCCAGTCAGGTCACAAAAGATTTAGCAACCATTAATATAAAAGGAGCAAAAAACTTGGAATAGGATATTCCACAAGGCAAAAGGTCTAGGCTTGTAACCAAGAATAACTTATCCGGCAAAACTGAGTATAATCCTACAGGGGAAAAAATTAAATTTTAATGAAGTAGAGTTTTTGCAAGCCTTTCTGATGAAAAGACCAGAGCTGCATAGAAAATTTGGCATACATACACAGAAGTCAAGAGAAACATTAAAAAAAATAAATAAACATGACCAAGAAATCATAAGGTTAAACTGTTAAACTTTACATTCTTATGGGGGGAAATGATATGTGTAGCTTTGTCATTATCAGGGGTCATAGAGAAAGTGCCTGAAGGAATTCTACTTTGTTTTGATCATCTTAAAAGAAGAATGGAATGGGTGAGGAAAAAGAATACATTGAAGAAGGAAGGGAGAGGGAAGATAAGGAAAATTATCTCACATAAATGGGGTGGGCAAGGAAAAGTCTATATAATGAGGGAAAAGTTGGGACTGGGGGGATGGGCAACATTTGAACCACAAATGTGCTAGTCAGAGGAGGAAAGAATACTCTCTCTCTCTCCTCTTTTTCTCTACCCTTCTCTCTCTCTGTCACACACACACACACACACACACACACACACACACACACACACACACGAGTCTCTCTCTCTCAACCCTTTAGGGAAGGGACACCAGAGGGAAGATGAGAAGGAAAAAGGAGAATAAGAGGGAGGGTAGTTGAAGGGATTAGGAAATACCTTTGGCAAAACAAACTCTTAAAGAGGGAATGAGGGAAGGACAGAAAGTGGGGGAGTAAAAATGTAAGATGGAAGGAAATTCACAATTAGCAATCACAATTGTGAATATGAATGGAATGAACTCACCCCATGAAATGGAGGAGCGCAGAATGGATTAGAAACCAGAATATAACAACGGGTTGTTTTGGTGGGGAGAAAAACCCAAACTTGAAGCACAAAGATGAGAACGGTTAAAATAAAGGGCTGGAGTAGAATGTATTATGCTTCAAACTAAAGTGAAAAAAGCAGAGGCCAGTAATCATGTTTTGAGACAAAGCAACAGTAAATATGGCCCTAATAAAAGATAAACAGAAAAACTAGGTTTTGCTAAAAAGTACTATAGGCAATTAGTATTATTAAATATATACACCAAAAGGCAAAGCATGTTTGAGAAGTCAGCCAGAGAAATGACTGGAATGTCCATTCTCTTTGTATCAGAGACTCCATTATTGGGCTTATACCTCAAGAATGCACTCGATAAGAAGAAAGTCCCCATATATACCAAAATATTTGTACTAGAAGTTTTTGTGATAGCTAAGAATTGGAAACAAAATAAAAATCCATTGATTGGGAAATGATTAAGCAAATTGTGGTACATACATGTAATGGAATATTACTGTGCTGTAAGAAGTGATGTATGTGATAGAAGCATGTACTAGTTACAATGTAGTACAGTGATTGAGAGTTGTAAATCACAGGCTCTGAATGAAGGTTATTATGAAGAGTATTCTGCATAGATCATTGAAGAAGAAAATGAATTTACCTATCTTACCTTATCTTGTATTGATTACATTTTAGGATGACTCTTTCCTGACCTATAAATTTCACCAGTAAGTTATCTTTAAATAATATTGTAGGATGGGTTACTTCTGGAAAACCTCTAGAGAAAGCTAATTCTCTATGTTCAATTGTTGTTAAGTATCCATTTATAGAAAATATCACTTCCTGATCTTGTCTCTGTTTGGAGCTTAAGCTCTCTTGGGCACTCTTGTAACTGACCCAGATTTATTACATAGTTTCTGTACATCTTTATAGTTGCTAAAAGTGGTGACTGTGATGGTTGTTTTTTGTTTTGTTTTTTACCTAGTTGGACATACACAAATGAAAAAGACTTAAATGGGAGTAGTCACTGGGGACTGATTGCAACATACAGTGGGGGTGGCTATTATCTGGACCTGTCGAAAACCAGAGAGGAGACCGCAGCACAGATCGCTAGTCTGAAGAAAAACATCTGGTTAGACAGAGGGACCAGGGCAACTTTTATTGACTTCTCAGTGTACAATGCCAACATTAATCTCTTTTGTGTAGTCAGGTATGTATTTTTTGTGATCATATTGTAAATCTTGGTTTGCTCATGTTTTGTGTGTGGATGTATGTGATGATACATTCTTGGAGTATTTACAACTAAAAATTTTCCTTCTTATTTCATTAAATAAGGGTCATAAGATTCAAAATGGATAACAAAGAATGGGCTGTGCTGATAAAGAAAAGAAAGGGCAGAATCATTTCATGGTATACTGAGTATTTCTTGGATATGTGAATTAAAAGTATTAAATCATAGAACCTTAGAGTAGGAATGTTTATCTAGTGTAACTATCCTGGGAGAAAAAGCTATGTTTTTCTACCATCTATCATTTAAGAGAATTAATCATCTCTGTGCCATAGTTATGTCTCATGACCCTGACCTTTAGTCAAAGCTCATTTTCCTAAGTTTGCCATCCTCTGCTAGTATCTGTTCCATTTAACATACAAACTCAGATGGGGTGGAGATTGTATTAAGTATTCTGTAAACAATTAAGGTCACAACTCATGCTAAGTACAGACTAAAGATAGGCTAAATGCATTTCTCAACTTCTGTATTTCAGAGGACAGGTCAACTTTGGACAAAAACAATCCTTCTCACTGAAAGCAAGACAAGGTTCTCTGACTTTCCCACTGCCCACTTAATAGGAATGCGTGTCACTTAACTTTGCTAGTTTTTGGTTTCCTCATCTGTGAAATGAGGGACTGACTAGATTATCTTTAGGCTGTTATGCTTATTCTGTACAAAGATATAGCAGTGGGTTGATGACCAGATAATCCATCACCCAAAGGATCAAAAAACTATTTAACTTTTTGCAAGGACAGTTAAATTACGGACAAAAATGAGGACTCATACATGCCTGCAAAGTCATTTCTAATCATGGATGGTGCAAGGGGGAAAGTATTAAGTCTAGAAGCAGATATTTCTGTCACCTGCCTTGAGTTGTAAGGAGTTCCTCAAGGCTGAGTTTGCATGAGAAGGAAGTGATAGAAGGGTGGGGAAGCAGAGTCTTAGGGATGAGAAAAGTTTTAGGGGATGAAAGAATCACTGTGCATGAAACCAGCAATACTGTAGGACTGAGGGAACCAAGAGTCTCCAGCTACCTCTGGCTGCCATCCAGAAGAGAATGATACTGAACTATTATTTTTAGTTGTGAATCTCAAAGGACTAATTGTGTTCCTGATTTAATAATAATGCTGTCTTCTCCTTATCTGTAAGATTCAACTTTGATATGCCCACACAACTAGATTTTTTCATCCCTAAATTTGCACAATTGTAGATCAGTTTTTACAGAAAATATCATGTTAAATCTTAGAGTACTTATTTACAAAAAGAAAGAAGAAATGATTTCAATGACTGCTGAGCTCTGTTTAGAGCACTCCTAAACAGGAAATGGTGTGTGGCTTCTTTGAGGACGGGAAAGGCAAAAGCAGCCGAGAGTTCCATGTTATTCTGTGTTATTGGCTGTGTATGTGTTTGGAGAGGTTTGGGGGAGAGCTCAAGCAAGTCACTGCTTTCACTCTGCCATCTTGGCTCTGCCCCTTCCTATCTGTGTGTGTGTTTAAATAAAAGTTACTCTTGAACTTTCCTTCCCATACTTTGAATATGAATGGTGATACTACCTTCTCAGAATTTCAGAGATGCTAGGTCAGGATGTGCCAGATGAATGGGCATGTGAGGGAACTAAATGAGGAGTGTGTCTCCCCTGGATGCATTTACACAGAATTTGTACGTATGTGTTCACACTATTCCACTGAGGTTATTCTCACCCTGAAAATCTGTCATGTAGAAAAAAGGAAAAGATAAAAATGAGAGGGCTGGAAGAGTTTCCCTATGTTTTTTAGTCTCAGTTTAATCCAACCCTCATCTTCATTTCTCTGTTAAATTATGGTTGTGGCTATAGAGGATCAATGAACAGCAGCTGCAGAGATGAAGTATGACTGTTTTGTTCCGTAACAGAGCAATAGCCTAAAAACTGAGGGCCTTCCTAGGCCAGTTTTGGTCCTAGCTTTTAATGACTCTACTGGAAGTCTTAGGTAGATCATTTAACATCAGTTTTCCATTGATAGAAGGAAGATAGGACTAATCCATATCAGAGGTTTAATGATCATGATCCCCACTCACATTATTTGTAGAGATACCCTAGGTCAGTGCTACCAATAAGACTGTGTAATATGGTACTCTTAAACTTTTTTTAGAGTGCCTAGGTTCTGTGGGAGATGCTGGGTGGAGGTTTGAGGGGAGAGGGGATACAGAGATATTGAACACAGAGCCTTACACAGACTATGCCCTCAATAAATGTTTGTTGAATGAATGATAGAATTCTTGTTCTGCAGTCTTAATTAGGAAAGAAAAAAGTGTCCTCATCTTCTTGAGCATCAGAATTACGTACCATTGTATCTTCTATAGCCCATTGTATACATTGCTTTCCTTTAGTAGGGACTTGTGAGTAATAATGTAAGGTTATATCTAAGTTGTTAAGTTAGTGGTACAGACAATGAGTACTGAAGGAGTTAAGAAAGGGAGAGACCCATGACTCAGATGATGATACAGGTGTGCCTGCTTGTCTGCAGTAGAGTTGGTCAAGACCAGGCCTGAGTGGGTCTAAGAAGAGCTCTTAGAGTTTACACTTCTACCTGTTGTTGTGAGAGCTAATTTGGGGGGAAACTTTGCCATTTGGTGCCTTTCACTTTCCTTACACTGCTGTCTACAGCCTGAGAGGTGAAAACGCCTCAGAGCTGCGAGAGTCCAGCCAGAGAAACTGACCGGGATTATGGCTTTGGTTTTGCTAAAAAGAACTTAATGCTCGTTCAGGGCTCTGCAGAAGTGGCTCTCCGCATTCCAGAACTGTTGTGAAGGCTCCTTAAAAGGGGGACATGGGAGATCGAGGCCCCAAGTTCCTCATTGTGAAGTGCCAGAGTGCCTGTGTTCTCAATCTTCCCTAGGGAGAGTGTGTGCTCCTGTTCCATCACAGTCTTTGTGTGCAGTAGTGAGGAGCTTAAGCTTGGGATACTGTATTTTTAAAATCATTATAGCTTAGTAAGTATTTCTGATTAAGAATGAAGCTGTGGACACTTGAGAACTACAGTGTTAGGAACGTATTTCCCCCTCTACAAGACTTGCAGCAGCCTGCATGCCCCAGCCTGTCAGCATAAAAACAAGTTCAGTGAGAAGCCCGGAGAGAGACAGATGGAGGAGGGAAGGGGTGCTCTTGAAGGACCTTCACATTTAGTCCTATCTTGTCATTGTATTAGAAGATGTGCTGATACCCAGAGACACTAAATGACTTTCCAAAGTCACATACCCACTTAATGCGAGAGCCATGACTAAGTTCATAGACTTAGGACTGCAAAGAATCTCAGACATCATTAATTGCAACTCCTGCATTTTACAGAGGACAGAACTGAAGCCCTGAGAGGTTAAGTGACTCCCTTGGAGTCACACAGCTAAGTTGGTTTCTAAGTCAGGGTTAACATCCTGGTCTCTGGCCACTTTGCTATGCTGACATCTGGTCTCTGCGGGATTGTTTAGAATTTAGTTGCCAGGCCGACATAAATAAAGATCAGTATTTTTCATCCAAATTATAGAGAAGGGTAGAGGAATAAATTAATTGTTCTGAGACTAACAATAAGTTAGTGTTGTAGGGAGACCGAGTTACTGGGAAGATTTCTTTACCTCAGCATCCCCTGGTATCACTAGTAGCATGAACTTTGTATAGTATAAAGCTGATCAGAAAGACTGTTAGTAAATTCTCCTCGTTTAAATATTTACCACCATCATCAGAGACATTGAGTGTACAAGTGTACTTCACCTCTTTGTCAAAAACAGCCATTTAGCAAGAATAGCCTTCCAGACTGATTATTAAAGAACTCAGTGCTGCTAGATGCCTCTTAGCATTTATAACTAAGCAGTTAACCTTTTCCGTCATTACCTGTTAGTGTGTGCTAACAGTTCTGCCAGATTTGGAGTTAGAGCCAATGTTTGACCGATCCATATCCAATCTTCCTATGTCATTTTAATTCCCAGTGAAGGAGGAAAACATATCCTTTGCACCAAGTAGATGTTCTAGCAGTGCATGCCTGGGAAAAAGATTGATACAAAGGTCTTCTGCCCTGTATAAGTTACCATTTCTTGGTGTTTCTCCAAAGACCTTCCCAGGTCTAAACATAGGATTCTATTAATGCAATAAAGGGTCAATTTCTGAAAAGAAGTTTTGTTTTCATTAGTATATCAAATAGTTAAATTCTCTCCATGCAAGCAATGAGATTTTTTTCTGAGTCCATAATGATACCAGTCAATGAAGTATGCTTTTATTAATTACTCAGTAGGTATCAGGCACTGGGGCACAGATGGGGGTGGGGGGACAGGGAAGGGTGGGGAGATAAAGGGGGAGAGGCACAGGGGAGACAAAAACAAAAATTAAAATATCCCTTTCCTTCAAGGACTTTACGTTTTATCTGGGAGGCAAGAACATATACAAGTATATGTAAAATAAATGCGAATAAATCTAAAGTAATTTTTGAGGGGAGGCTGCTGGGGGTGAATCAGGAAGGGCCTCCTGTTGGACGTGGTGTTTGAGGAAGTTTTCCCGTGGAGCTGGAGTGCAAGCCAGGCACTCAGTAGCAAGTTAGTAATGTTCCAAGGGTGACCTTACAATGAACAAGGCAGCTTTGGGAATGGTTTGTGGAATCTAGCTCATTACTTTATATGATGCTTTGTGTTATGTGCTGGATAAGAACAAGCTGCCATCTTTATTCAGAGATACTCACTTACAGCTTTTTCTTTTACTGCAATATAGATTATTGGTTGAATTCCCAGCCACCGGTGGAGTGATTACATCTTGGCAGTTTCAGCCTGTAAAGCTGATCCACTACATCTCAACATTTGATTTCTTCCTGGCCGCCTGTGAGATCACCTTTTGCTTCTTTATCCTTTACTATATAGTGGAAGAGATTTTGGAAATTCGTATTCACAAATTACATTATTTCAGAAGTTTCTGGAATTGTCTGGATGTCATGATTATTGCGGTAGGTTCTAATGCAGTAACCATATACCTTATTTACTTATTTTTTTATTCTGAATTTAACACCCCCCCCCAAAAAAAGAGGAACACATTTATATGCCAAATAGAACAGAAAAAGAGGGTTATATTTGAAACATGAATTCTGTTGTGCACAGTTTACTTTCCTTTTTGAAAAGTATGTAATAAATGTAACATATTACTTTCAAACCTTTCCTGCTTATTTCCCTCTGAATGTCCTTCAGTTCCCTTCTGTTAATTTTAAAATTTCTCCAATGACCTTCTTTTCTTGCACAGTCCTTTTCAGAAATAAAATAGTAAAGCAAAATAAATCCACACATTTTCCATAGCCCAAAATGAATGCCTTGTTTTATACCTTGGCCCATCCGCCCTCGTGTCAGCATATGTTAATATGCTTCATCATTGGTCCTCTGAAGTCATGGCTGGTCATTGTAGCGATCAGAATTCTTATTACTGTATAAATCATACTCCTAGTTTTTAAAAATAAAGTAAAAGATTTCCTAGCACCTTCTTGTAGAGAATCTACAAGCCTCCACATTTAATAGGAGAATGGATTTAGAGCTGAAAGGGACCTTAGAAGTCATGTAGTCCAACCTACTTGTTATACAGATAAGGAAACCAAGACCTCTTTGGGTAAAGTGATTTGCCCAGGATCATGCAGAAGTAGTAGAGTGGCAGCTGGAGTCAGGTCCTCCAGCTCTAGATCCCACTAGATCCCTGTGCTATCTGCCTCTCAGTTCATATAGAATTTGATGATTCTCTAGTCCCATAACATAGTATCTATTTTATGTACACACACACACACACGTATTTTTTTAACTGTACTTAACCCAAATAATCTCTCCTGAGCTAAGTCACTCTTTCCTGTAAGTTATAAAACTAGTGAATCATCTACCTACCCAGATTTGGCGCCATGATGGGAAGAGATTATAAACGATATTACGCATAATACATTTCTCAAACTATAAGCCTTTTGCAGGTATCTTGCTCATACATGCAGTGTGTTGCCACTTGAAATTTCTTTAAGTTCTTCACACAAGTTTCATTTGATACAATTAATTTTACAAAGTCTCAGTACAGAATCAAAACTATAAGCCTTCCTTTATCTTAGCCATCTCATTGTAGGGAGCCTGTGGCAGCATGCTATAAGCCCTAATGGGGCTTTCTAAGGTGAAAAGGATTTGGTTATGAAGCTGGTGATGGTATTCTGGGCCAGCTTGAATAAGTTAGGAGATCACCAGATTGACTCCTGAGTAATAACTTTTTTTGGTGCAGCGACTCAGAGACACCATCTTCTAATGGATAGGAGTTGTGATCTGCATTGTGGACTTAATGCTGACACTAATGAAACCACAGATCCTAAACACATCGAAGCATGCTGTTTATTGTTTTTTATTCTTAGGGCTATCTATTTGAAGATTATTATTCTTTAGGTTTTATTTCCTACACACACATACACACACACACACACACACACACACACACACACACACATATACTGACCTTGGGCAGCACTCATGCTTGACTAAAATATATTGAGTGATAGCCATATAATGGATTATAATGACTAATTTTGGCCGTAAAGAAAATGGGGAGGGAAGAAGGAAAAGGAACGTGCATTAAGTGTCTACTTTGTGTCAGGCACTATGCAAAGTACCTTACAACTATTATCTTATTTGAAGAAAGGAAAAATGTACCTCCTTCACTTCTTTGCAAAGGTAGAGTGCTGTGGTTTCAGAGCACTACATATTTTGTTCAACTTAGTTGATATTTTAGCTGAATCACCTTCCTTTTCCCTTCTTTGGTTATTGCTTGTTGGAAGGCATGACTGTGGAGGGGCATGGAGAGGTATATATTGGCAAATGAGGTGATATAAAAATAAAAGATAACAATAATTTTTTTTAAGTTTATGGTCTTAAGACAATGGAATTTGTAAATATTGATCCTATTTCTTTCTTCTAGCTGTCGATAGTAGCTATAGGAATTGACATCTACAGGAAATCCAATGTGGGATTGCTGCTGAAATACCTTGAAGATCAAAATACTTTCCCCAACTTGGAGCCTCTAGCATACTGGCAGATACAGTTCAATAATGTGACAGCTGTAATGGTCTTCTTTGTTTGGATTAAGGTAATTTATGTGTTTGACATAGTCTAAGGCATAAAGTTAAACAATGGGATTAGCAGATATATAATTGATCTCACTGTCAATAGCTTACTACACTCTTGAAGGACTTAGTCAATGTTTGTTAATATGTGAAACTTGCCAAGTCTTGTTCTATATGAAGAAGGCTGTACAGTCCCAGCCCAGAGTAAACATGAGTGCTCTGGACTGCACAGTGATCGTTGGAATGGGGCCTGGTTTTGACTAGGGAATGCAAGTAGAAAGTGAGGATGATGGGGTACAAGGCAGGTGAAAAACTAGACATAGTAGTGCTCAATGATAAACATCTCTTTTCCATCTGGATTCTGCAACATCTTATTCTGAATTTAACTTGGAACCCACACCAAGTAGAGCTTTAAGGGACCTGTGAGTCTATCTAGTGTAGCCCCCACACTCATTTTATAGTTGGGAAGCCTTAGGCCTAGGGAGGTTAAATCATTTACTAGAGTCATATAGTAAGCATCAGAGTCAGGATTTGAATCCGGGTCCTCTGACTTCAGAGCCAATGTTTTTTCCATTGTGTTCACTGTGTAGTAAAATATTTGGTGGGTTTTTACAGCCTGGGTTCCTATTTGGGGTTCCAAATTGCAGGATCCAGCATTTTATTCCATACCTCATGTACATCTCAATCAATCAATCAGTCAATAAGTATTTATTGATTACTACTCTGTATCATGCCCCGGAGAAACAAAGAGAAAAGAGAAATAGCACTTGCAGTCAAGGATCTTACACTCTCTTGGGTGTAGCACATGTATCTAAGTATATGTGCAATAAGTCTAAGGTAATTTGGAGGTGGTGTATAGAGTACTGACTGCTTCATGTAGCATACCAAGAGGATTATGGGAACCTACTGGGATTCAGAAGATCCCAGAGCCCCCTAAAATACTCCATCGTGGCTTAAATGTACAACTCCACAAACAGATAGAAAAGAGGATCTCTAGAATTTCCCACCAAATCCAAGAATCCATAAAGGGACTCCCACAGTCCTGCAGAGGTCCTGTAACAGAAAAGTGGGGCTGGTTTAGGAGCACAGAAGGTGGGGAAGAGGAAGCTTCTTCAGCCTTCAAGCAGTTCCACCTTTCCCTGCCTGAGCTTAGCAATACCTAGACCTAGCCCAAGCCTTCCCTGAGGCTGTGGCCGTAGGAGAGCCACATTTGAGGCTTCTGGGTTGCAGAACCACAAAGCATCTCAGTCCAGACCAAGCCCATGTCTGGCTGGCTGAGCCCAGCTCCAGATACCATCCTCTGGGTGTGCAGGGCAGGTACAACCTAGCACCCCTAGTCTGGGCTAAGCAGAACCCATTCTGAGCAGCACCGGAATACAGACCTAGCCTTGGTGAACAGAGAGAGCAAAGTTAAACCAAGCAGAGTCGAATGGTACCAGTGGCCCAAGTCCAGCTGTGGGAGAAAGGTCCTGGGCAAAATCCAGCCTGAACAGTCCTGACACTGTGTCAGGAGTAGGAGTAGCACGTGAGTCCAACAGCAGGGAGGAAGGACCCCCAGGTATAGCTGAAAACAGGGCTAGAGCCCTGTAACAGCCCTAGCTGGGACCAGAATAGCCCCAGAGTCCCTCAAAGGAGAGGCTTTATCTAGCCCACTGTCCTTAGGACAGTGTAGGCCCTGCCCACCCCATTCAGTTGCAGAGTTTGACCCAAGTGAAGATCCCTGAGTTTGCTCCCTGAGCAAACCATGGAAAACTTTGAACAGCATAAGGAAAAGCATTGATTTGAAAGATACCCAAGAGATAAACCCTGAGGAGGATAGTGATACTCTAACAAGTCCTCTAGCAAGAGGGACTGCAGGAGTATCTAGAGGAAATGAAACAAGAGATACAGAATGGAAAAGCGGGGGAGGAAAGAATAATAAGGGAAAGTGACACCTTAGACAAATAACGGAAAACCTGACTCAGGCTCCAAATGTTAAAATGTGTCAGATGGAAAACAACAATACAGTAGGACAACAAGAAATAGGTAAGTAAAACCAAAAGATTAGAAGGAACAAAACAAAAGAAAATTCAAGAAATACAATGGCATAAAATAAGTAACCTGGAAAACAGGTCAAGGAAAGGTAACAATAGTAATAATAATAACAATAACAATTATAAGCATCTATATAGTGCTCTAAGATTTGCAAAGCACTTTTCAAAAGAATTATCAGAGTATCTGAAAACTATGATCAGAAAAAATATCCGGATATCATATTTCAGTTAAATATAAATGAAAACTACCTAGAACCCTAAGAACCAGAGGGTAAAGTAAAAATAGAATCCACCTGGTCATCTCCAGAAAGACACTTTAAAATGAAAACTTATAGAAAACTTACTTAAAATGAAAACTAAAATCCAGAGCATCTGGATCAAAGAAAAAACACCACAAATAGCCAACAAAGAGTTCAAATACCAAGGAGTCACAGGGAAGATTACATAAGATTAAGCAGCTTCCACAATAAAGAGGAGGAGACCTTGAAATATTATATTTCCAAAGACAAGGAATAAATATGTCAAGTCTGAAAAAAAAAATTACCATTGTTAACTCTGAAAAATGAAATCCCAAAGAGTTCACTGAAGTAATGCCCCCAACTGCTAGCTCTGACAAACAAAATAGATACCAAAGCATCACAGCAGCTATGGAATCACTGTTAACTCTGAAAATACCAAAGACTTCTCAGGGGTCATATACCAACTGTTAACTCTGAAAAATAAAGTATTAAAAAAGCTAACAGTGGTCATGAGCACCAAGCTTGCTCTATTCCATTGGAAGAGGGAAACTAGACACATGTGCTGGGGTCTGCTGTGATACCGAGGAGACCCCTGCAGTGAGGCTGAGCCTTGATGCCTGTAGGAGGGGCCATGCAGTGAGCTGTAGCAATGACAGTGATAGAGTAAAAGTAGCAATGAGGCAAGTGTGATTCATAGCAGGGCTTCATGATTGGGACGTGATATCTGCAGGTGCTTGTCCAAGTTCAGGAACCACCTGGGGCCGGTGTGAAACAGTGCTGGAATTTTGCTGCAGCAGAGTTCATCCAGAGGGTGAGCACAAAGAATTGTTATGCCAAGCTCTGGGCACAGCCTGCTTGCTGGGCCTTAGCTCTGAAAAACAGGATGTCTCCTAATAGTAAAAACAGAGGGATGATCTTGGTATGGGGATCCTGACAAATGTTTGTGGCCAAGTATTGTTTATCTGACAAAATTGAGTATAATCCTTGGGAAAAAGGGTAAGAAGGAAAAGGGAAATGTGTCTTTAATTTCCAAGGATTCCTGATGAAAAGACCTGATGATGATGATAATGATGTCCTGATCAGACATTTGAAAATGGAAATGCAAGCTTTAAAAGAAACATACATATCTATATTTGTTTAATTGAAAGGGAATATGTGGGAATTAATTTTTGTTTCATGTTAATAGGGGTATAAGATACAAATGTCTTTTCCGAACCCTAATATTTTTAAAGGTCATAGAGAAAAACTAAAAGGAATGAAAGTCTTTAGATGGTTTTGTTCTGTTATAATGGTTTCAGGAGAAGGCAAAAATGGGAAGGACAGGAAACTGTACTAGGGAAGAAAAGGAAGATGGGGATAGAAATCACTGTTGCATAAAATAAAGAGTATAATAACTAATAATAATATATATACATATATAAATAATAATAATATTAAAATAAAGGTGCATAAAATAAGAAGCATGTGGTCATGGGGTTTGCCTTCACTCAGTCAAGACCACTCCACAGGGAGTGTCAAAGAAGAGGGCATTAGCTCCCTCATCTCCTGGGTGGGGAAGAGATGGGTGATCCTTTCTGGTGATCCAGCCTGGAGGTACTATTTCAGGTGGTGAGAGGCAGGGCAGCAGCAAGGTGGATATAACAGTCTGGTGTGTGTCCTGGGGCCATGTAGAGTGGGCTCGTTGTATCTGTCACTCCCCAGTGGAGGTGGCTCAGCCCCAGGTTGGGAGTTTGCCCCCTTTGTCCTCCAAATCTCTTAGCGTGACTCTGAGTACATAACAGGCGCTTAAAAAGCACTTGACTGGTTATCTGGGGTGGAGAGGTGAGAGAAGAGCAGTTTTTTTTTTAATGTTCTTATGTTTCCTGACCTTTGTGAGGGCAGCACTTTTCCGCTTGAAAAGAAGTTTAATGAAGCCTGGTTATAGTCATAGAAGGTTGATGCTTTGTAGAATTCTTAGATCCAATTTGTGTTTCTTCTACAGCTTTTTAAATTCATCAACTTCAACAGAACCATGAGCCAGTTGTCCACCACCATGTCTCGCTGTGCCAAGGACCTCATTGGCTTTGCAATTATGTTTTTGATTATTTTTCTTGCATATGCTCAGTTGGCCTACCTTGTCTTCGGCACCCAGGTCGATGACTTCAGCACTTTCCAGGAGTGTATGTAAGTATATCTGCAGTTTTCAGAAGGGCTTCATGGCCATGATCTTTGTGTCCTGGGGACTTTGTGAAAGAATTTGGCCATTCCTTGATTAATTTTTTTTAAAACGTTAAGTAATAATGTAACTGACTTTCACAGAAATATTAGAATAGCATTAAAAAAACAGTAGTTGTCTCCAGAATGCTGGCACTTATGTTAGTAATCTTTTTTACAAGGGTTACTAGTCTTTTTATGGTTATATTTAGTCATTCCATTAGTTGCTCAATGAAATTTAGCTTTTAATTCCATAAACCTTCTCTACTAAAGTAGTCTTGACCCTCAGGACTTTTTAGCACCAAAATGTAAATATTAGCCATTATAGGAATGCTAGTCCAATTCCATATTTGCATTGAAAGTTGTGGCTTTACCTTTTATTTTCTAATAGTTCTGTGAATAAAACTCTGTGACCCTTATTTTTCAAAACAGCATTCAGGTGGATTTTGAGTCTTGGAATTCCCCACAAAAGTTTCTTCCCTCTTTCTTTCCCACCCCAACACCCCAAAAACAGAGCAACCATCTGTTGGAAACATAATGCTCTGGAGAGAAGATAACCCACATGGAGTAATTAGGAAATGAGAAGAGAGTAGGGAAGTTCCTTGCCCATAATGGGTACCAATGAATGTTATTGACTGATGAGAGAAGGACTTGTTAGGTTTCACTAAGATCTGCACTGCCGACACTGGATGACTCTTCAGTCTCATCACAACTTCGTAGACCCTCACCAGGGGTGCCAAATGAGATTAGACATTTGGGCTCTTAGCATTGTGGGGATAGCCTTTAATAAAATTTTTCTAGTTTGTTTTCAGCACATTTTCTGTTGGAATCTACCCTGATTTTTGTGATCATTAGAATTGTTTTGTCAGAGGCACCCGTTGAATTCTTAGGACATGTCACTTTGTAATCTGCTTTATGGTTAATCTGTGCAGTTTCCTCCTTCATGATCCAACTATAAAGTGACATGTTTAAGTTACAGACGTTTATCTTTCCAGAAATCTGTTGGTATAAATGGTGAGGTTCCTTTAAAAGTACTCAGTAATTTTCGAAGCAGACAAAATGCGTGTTCCTTCCATTGTTGGCAGTTATCCTGCTGATAAGGTCCAAAACTGTGAAACCACAAGTAAGAAATGCTAAATCCATTGCCCGACGTTTGTTTTGTTTTTGTAGCTTCACTCAGTTCCGTATCATTTTGGGAGACTTCAACTTCACAGAACTAGAGGAAGCTAATCGAGTTTTGGGACCCATTTACTTCACTACTTTTGTGTTCTTTACCTTCTTCATTCTTTTGGTATGTACATTTCTGTTTATGATGAAGTGGTTTATGCTTTTATTTGCTTTCCAATCCCCGCCATTTCTTCCACCTTGTTCTTTACTTTTGAGATCCCACTGGTATAAATCAAGCCCTTTAATAGCAACAGTCCTGAGGAAGATTCCCGAGATACTGTACTGTAGTTGAAATGGATAAAGACATGGAAGTGTTGAGGACGGGTCTTCAGTGTGTGCAGGTACATCACATCCCTACCCTCCATGGCTGTTTGCTGTTTGGGAGCCTTCACTTCATCAGAGGCAAGGATGAGTTGGAAGCAGTAAACCATCCATCATTTCACATGTAGCGCTTCAGCATTGTCCAGAGTTTGCTGTAGAAAACAAGACTGATGTATCGATAGGTTTTGCTGAATTGCTTTTTTACGTGTCTCTTCTGACATATAAGTAATATTCCATTCCCATAGTCCTCTACTTCTGCAAAAGATAAGTGGGAAGTTTATTTTCTCAACTCTTTTCTGGAACCAAGATTGCTGGGATTTATTGTACTAAAAATTTTAGTACTTTCATATTCATTTTCTAGGATGATTTTATATATAAGTATTATGTATATGTATATGCGTGTGTGTGTGTGTGTGTGTGTGTGTGTGTGTGTGTGTGTGTGTGTGTGTGTGTAAATACATATACAGAAGGGACCGTCCAGGTCATCTAATCCAACTCTCCTCAATTTATAGTCAAGGAAACTAAAACTCCAAGGAAGTTTCAGTGACTTGCTAAGGTCACCCAGAGAGTCAGTGGCCACATCAGTCTGGTGTGCTTTCCTCTGCCCCACATCTTTGAAGTTAATCAGGTTTGTCACCATCAGGATCTAGTAACAGGCCCTTAGGGTCGCAAGCATGTGGATTTAAAGCTAGAAAGGACCTCTGAGGTCATTTAGGCCATCCTCTTAATTTTATAAATGGGATAACTGAGCCCCAGGAAGGTTAAGTTTTTTACTTTAATCAGAAAGGGTAATAAGTTATGAAGATAATATTAAAGCCCACGTTCTGTAACTCCAAATCTAACATTTTTTTTCTGTATTGTATTGCTCTTATTTTCTTTAGGATGGCATAATTCATGATTATGAGTTTAATTTAGTGTAACTGTAACCTTTGAGGAGATTAAATGTCTCCCAAATTACCAGTCATTCTTTCTTTTATAGTCCACTTTGGGATCTTGCTCTATGCATATAGCATATTTTAAGCATCTTCTTCCTATCACAGGCAGAAATTAAGAAGTTGAGTAGGGTGTGGTAAGAGGGCATATGATGGAATAAATAGATTGGAGTTGGAGTCAGGGAGAGCTGGGTTTAGTACCTGCCTCTGACCCTTATTCATCAACCAGTATTTACTAGTGCTTACAATGTGCCATATACTGTGGAATGCAAAAAAAAGCAAAAATACAAAAACCATTCTTGTTCTTAAGGAGTTTTTACATACCAATTTAAGAGAGAAAATGTAAATAAATCAGTGCACATGGGATATATATGGAGCAGAATGAAGGCTTACATGGCTGAGGAGACTGGGAAGGTGTCCTGTGGAGGATGGCTGAGTCTTGTAAGAAGTGAGTGGTGTGGAGGTGGAGGTGAGCACTACAGTCACGGAGAACAGTCCCTGCAAAGGCAGAGATGTGGGAGGAACAAGTAAGTCAGGTTGTCAGATGTGGGAAGGGCCACAAATAGTGAAAAGACTGGAAAGGTAAGGACCTGTGCGATCCTGAGCAAGTCACTTAAGCAAAATGAAAGGATTGGACTAGAGCGCTTCTGGGGGCTCTTACAGGTGATGCTAGGGGGCAAGAAAAGATTGGAATTAATTACTGTCTAAAAATATTCAATTATAATTAGTAGTCAGAATGTAGTAAATCCTTAAGTGGTATGATAGGAATACCTAGAACAAATTGCTAAGGTAAGAATGATTGTTCCCAAGAAAGGAAAGAGGGGCCCAGATGGTTGGTTTTTGTCCTCGGCTCAGGGGAGCAGGTGCTGCTGTGGACTCACCAATTAACCTTAGACCAGGCATTTGAGTTCTGGGGAGAGTTATAGTGGCCCAGAAGATAATATGCATGTATTATATTACTATGCATATGTTATAGCATGTCACTCTAGAATTTTCATTTAAAGTCTTCCACTATTTAGTAGATAATTGCCTTATAGATTCTAAAGTCTGTAAGTCCTTACAGTAGATTGATAAAGCCCTGACTACTATGGCAATACAGGTTTAGGATCAGAAAACCCTAAGAGTGTATAGAAAACATTTTGATAACTTACTAAGGAGAGCAGTCTGTCAGGAAGCCCAGCTATTTGGAAATCAACTCATTCTTTCCAGTGCCTAAGTGAAGAAGGCAACTGTCTTTCTCAACCCTGCAGCTTGCAAAGAAAAAGCCAAATATTTTTTCTTAAAGAATACTGCCCCAGTTTTTCACTTCTCTGGCATCAATGTGACTGTAGTCAAGACAGATTGTGAAAGACAAGCCAAGAAGCTGTTAGAATTAATGAAAAACTTAGAAAACTGACTCTACAGCTTGGGGTCTTGATTGCCTAGGACCCTAAGAAGTTAAACAGCCACATTGCCAGTGTAGATCAGAGTTAATATTTGAACCTAGGCCTTCTTGCTCTGAACCTCTGTCACTTTCTAGCTGGATGACTACAAGCAAATCACTATTTCTTTTAGTCTCTGTTTCCTTTCATGTAAATATAATACTAATATCTTGTAAGGTTGTTGTAAATAAACTACTTGGTTAAACATTTAAACATGATAAATGTGAGCTTTCATTACTATTATTAATCTGAAAAATATTACTCCTTCCTAACATGTATATGATTAAATCAGTTTTTTTAAAAAGCACTTAAAAAAAAAAAGAACATATATACTTCCAACATATAAGAAACACTGGAAATCCCAACCATTAGCAAAGGCTTTGTTATATTCCAGCTGTTTAATCAAATTCAGCTTTAATTCTTTGAACCACTAAATATCCTGTGTAGCCTTGATGCTAAAGTGTTCCCATAGCCTTATTAATTGTTAAATGCAGACTTAATTAATAAGTAAAAGTTTTGGTGGGTTTTTTTAAGAAAAAAAATTAAAAGGTTAATCGAAGGCATTGTAACAGTAGTCTGGTAAAAAACACAGAATTCCATATATCTGCTTTATGATATTTGTTCAGAAAGTCTTGTTATTAAGCTTTATTTAAAAGAGTGACATATCTGGCACAGTGGATAGAGCACCGGCCCTGAAGTCAGGAGGACCTGAGTTCAAATCCGGTCTCAGACCATACACTTGACACTTACTAGCTGTGTGACCCTGGGCAAGTCACTTAATGTCAATTGCCTAAAAGCCAAAAAATAGAATTAAATTAAAGTAAAAGAGAGACATGTCATTGTAGAGAATTGGTCTTGATGCCAGGAAGACCTGGGTTTAATTCACCCCTCACATGTGGGTCACTGAGTGGTATCCTTGACAATAATGGCGAAATTAGGAGGAGAAGAAGGTTTGGAGGCAAAGAAGTTCTGTTTTGGTCATGTTGAATTTAACAAGTCCAGGGGACATACAGTTCAGGAGGTCCAATAGACAGTTGGAGATGCAAGATTGGAGATCAGGAGAGAGATTAGGGCTGGATAAATAGATCTGAGAATTATCTATTATATCTTGTATTTGTTTTATATTTGTTCTGCAGATGTTCTATCTGTACTTTTTTATGGGCATAGGAGTCTCTGAATCAGTTCATCAGAATTTATCCTGTGTCCATATAGAATTCTCTCTCTCCCAGTAAAAGGTAAACTTCTTAAAAGTAGAAATTGTGTCACTTTTGGTATCTGTAGCCCTAGCACCTTAGCAATTAGTAGGTGCTTTTAAATGCTTGTTGATTGGCTGATTAGTTGAAAAGTGCTTTACAACATCTGATACTAAGACTATCAGAAATTATTCTCATATACTTGCAAAATTACAATATAAAGGCCCCAGAAGGCCCATGGGGGTTTTCTAATTATTGCTTGAAAATGGTCTTTAAGATATATCTTCCTTTGTTTGTGTTTTTTTAAACAGAATATGTTTTTGGCCATCATCAATGACACATACTCTGAAGTTAAATCTGATATGGCTCAGCAGAAGACTGAAATGGAGCTGTCAGATCTCATCAGAAAGGTAGTAATTTATTCGCATAACTGCTTCGTATTTGGCTGGATTCCTAAATCAAATGACATTTATAAAAATTTTAAAAGTTTTTCATTTAAACTGTTTGATCATTAGAGATTCTTTGAAATAAAAAGTATGTAACCATTTTTCTGTAGTTTAACTATTACCTTATCAGGAGGACTGAGTGGACTACCTCTGGAACCACTGATTGGAAATTTTTTAAAAGTTTTATAGGTGCCTTTTGTTTTTACACCACAATCACTTCCTCGAACACATATACACATGTACACACACACACACACACACACAAAGGCACACTTGTTCTTGTAACAAAGAAAGACATTTAAGGAAAATCAAATACAAACACAGTGACGGCATCTGATAGAAGATACCACTTTCCACAGCCACAGTCTCCACCCATCTATGGTGCTTGGTTTCATGTTCTTAAATTAATCATTCCTCTTCAGAGTTCAGCTTCTTTTGAGTGCTTATTTTATGTGAATTGTTATAGTAGTTGTATATTTTGTTCTCTCTTTTCTGCTTATTTTGTCCAGAATCAGTTGATAGAACTCTTCCTGTGTTTCTCTTGATTATTTTTTCTTTTTTGTTGGTTTCTTGTTCTGAACATAACAAAAAAAAAGCAAGTAAAATGGTGATTTTAATGTACAGTGTAGAAGAAAATATTTAATACATTAAACTATGAACATTATATACAACTTTTGCTTTCTGAATTTATAATAAATTCAACATATAAATTTCAAAGATGTCTTGTTTGTGTTTCCTTCTGACCTTTTGGTCTCTTCCATGCATTTTTTAAAGAAATGCTTCAGTGATTCCCCCTTGTTTTCTCTATCCCTGTCTCCTCTTACTTTTACATTCTCCTTCCTCCTAACCCCACTGAAGAAAAAGAAAAACAAAACCCTTGTAAACAAAGACGTAGTCACGTAAGACATCTTGTCAAATTTGCCATGTCAGAAAATGTCTTATTTGCCTCTTGAGTCCTTCACTCTCTGTGAGGAGCTACATAGCATGCATCATCCTCAGGCTTCTAGAATACTTGATCCTTGCATTGATCAAAATTCTTCAATCTTAAATGCATTTCTTTACACTTCTGTGGTTCACATTGTTCTCCTGGTTCTGCTCCCTTCACTGAGCGTCAGTTCATGTGAGTCCTTCCAGACTGCTCTGAATTTGACCCTTTCACTACTCATTACAGAGCAGTAACATTCCATTACCTGCTTTGCCCACCTACTCTGGACTCATGGGGGTGAAAGTGAATAAAATGACAAATCAGGATAAAATGAATTATGCCTCATTTTTTTTTTAGGGCTGTCATAAAGCTATGATAAAACTGAAACTTAAAAAAAACACCGTGGACGACATTTCAGAGAGTCTGCAGCAAGGTGGAGGCAAGTTAAACTTTGATGAACTCCGCCAAGATCTGAAAGGTTAAGAATCCTGTTTCCTAAGCCCAGTAATTGCCAGTATCGAATCTTTGCTTTGTGGTGTTGCTGGTGATGTCCAAATGCACGTGCATGAGTGTCTTCTGCAATGATTACCAGAGAGATATCTGGCTTCCTTTAAGGAATTCAGTGCCAGACCACTGATCTCACTGACCTCTTACCTATATTCTCTCTGCTTTCAGGAAGGGGCACACAGATGCAGAGATTGAGGCAATATTCACAAAATACGATCAGGACGGTGACCAAGAGTTGACTGAACATGAACACCAGCAGATGAGAGATGACTTAGAAAAAGAGAGGGTATGTCTAGTTTGAGGCAGTGTGGCTAACTTCTTAGAGGGACTCCTTCTGAGAGTGTTTTTGCAGCAAATCTTCTCATTCTTTGCATTTGACCGTAGAATTATGTGTCGGGTCTTATATGCACTGTTGATTGACCTTCCTAATTCTATTTTTAATTATGATTAACATTAGTATATGTTATTTAAGCTCCCAGTAAAGTTCATTGTAGTGTTTAAATGGCCCTAGGTTCTCTCAGGCTATGCCAGCACAAATTCAATAGCCTTCAAGTATAGGCCCAATGAGAGCTTTGGTGTCCTTTTCTCCAAGGAAAAGCCTGGCTAAATTTGGACGTGCTCACACAAAATTTACCATCGAGTGATATTCATTCACAACTCACTCCTTACTCATCATTGTGGGTTGCTATTTGTACTGGTGAATGAGCATATCTTTGCTGATGAAATTGTAGAATTTTGTTTTCTCCCTTGATAGCATATAAATTCTTTGAGAGGTATTTTTTTTTGTCTTTACATATTAACAACTAACACATTGAAAAGAAGGGAAGGGGAGAATTCAGGCACAGAAACAGACCATTGATTTCATCAGTGTGGGGAATTCTGCATCAAGAAACTCCCTTTACAAATGCAGAACTGCACTTGCTCTATGATGACAGGCTTACGTGACTTGCCCAGGGTCACACACAGCCAGTATGTGATGGAGACCAGCCTATCTCTGAGGCTAGGTCTCCACTGTCTACATCATATGTGCCTGGAACACAGCAGGTGTTTAGTAAGTGCTTGTTGAATGGGATATATTCTCCTAGTATCTGTGAGGTGAGGCTAGGGAGAAGCTCACTTAAGGTGGTTGATTTGGGAAGTCTCTTTTTCCATTTAAAAGAAAAGTTTCTGTAGACAAGCAACTTCGATAGATAGAGACTGTCATAAATAAGGCATTACCCCTCACTTGATCATGCATCCCCACCAGCCATCACCCTCTATCTCTCCTCTTATTTCGTGACTAGATTCCTTGAGAAGGTTGTCTGTAATCAGTGGCTGCGCTTACATTCCTCTCCCCCTCTTCTTGATTCTCTGCTGTGTAACTTCCAGCCTAATCATTCAACTGAAACTGCATTCTCCACTTACCAATAAAGGATCTCCTAATTGCTGGATCTACCGGCCTTTCCCTGCTCCTCATCTGTTTGACCTCTCTGCAGCCCTTGTTGCAGCCAGCCCGCCCTTCCCCTTGAAATTCTCTTCTCCCTAGGTTTCCATGACTCTTCTTTCCCCTTCCCCTCAGACCACACCTTCTCAGTCTCTTTTACCCTCTGACCGCTCCTCCTTGGCTGAATCTTCCTCTAGGTCAGGCCCACTTAATGGTGGGTGTCCCCCAGGGCTCTGCCCTGGGCCCTCTTCCCTCTATGCTTTTTCACTTGGTGATCTCATCAACTCCCATGGATGCGGGTACCATCTCTTTGCCGATAATTCTCAGACCTATTTATCCAGCCCCAGCCTTTGTTTTGAACTTCAGTATTGCATCTCCAACTGCCTGTTGGACATCTTGACCTGGAAGTCTCCCAGACATCGTAAGCCCAATGTGACCAAAACTGAACTCATTCTCTTTCCCTCAGAATCCCCCTCCATTCCTGAGTTTAATATTACTGTTGATGGCAACACCATCTTCCCTGTCAGCCAGGCTTGCAGCCTACATGTCAGCTCCTCACTCTTGTCAAGTCCTGTTGATCTCCCCTCCACGTGTCTCTCACATACACCCCCTTCTCTCCCAACCCTGCGGTATCCCTAATACAGGACCCTGTCACTTCACACCTGGGTTATTACAACAGCCTGCTGGTTGCTCTTCCTGCCACAGGTCTCAGCACCCAGCCCGTCCTCCACTCATTTGTCAGTGATCTTCGTAAAGTGCAGGTGTGACCATGTCACCAACACCCCCCATCCTACCCTTAGTTCTAAAAACTCCAGTGGGCTTAGGAACAAATAGAAAATCCTCTGTTTGAAATCTCAATCTCTTAATAACCTACCTTTCCAGTCTTCTCATGCTCCCTTCCTGCATACTTCACAGCCATGAGACTGTCTTCCTTGCTGTCTATCATACGTGACACATGACATTCCAGGTCCCAGCTAAATTCCCATCCTCTGCCATAAGCCTTTCCCAATCCCTCTTAATTTATTGCCTTCCCTCCAGTTTATCTTGTCTACAGCTTGTCCATACGTGGTTGTTTGCACGTTGTCTCCTCTATTAGATGGTGAGCTCTCGGGAAGCAAGAGCCATTGCCTTTCTCTGTAACTCCAGTGCCCGGCTTACAAGAGGCACCAAATAAACACTTGTTGATTTGTTAGCTTTTGTCTGGCCTTCATCTTCAGCCTCCTCATTCTTACCAGTAGTCTGTCCGTTCTGCAGGAGGATCTAGATCTGGATCATAGCTCTTTGCCCCGACCCATGAGCATTCGCAGCTTCCCACGGAACCTGGATGATTCTGAAGAGGACGATGACGAGGACAGTGGGCATAGCTCTCGAAGGAGGGGGAGCAGCTCTAGTGGAGTTTCTTATGAAGAGTTTCAAGTGTAAGCATGTTTAGTTTGGCTCAGTTTTTATTAGTGAGAATCTTAACAGGACAAACCAAACCATCCATTCTTGGACTCTCTCTAACTATAAACACTGCCTCCCATCACTACCTTGACTTCGTAATGGAAATAACCATCTGATAAAGTACTTTTTTCAGATTCTTACATTGTTTCATTTCAATTTTGCCTGCCCTTTTCATCCTTCCTCCCCCCCAAAAAAAAAATTTGGCTAGGCTAAAAAGAAAATGATGGAAGATAGAGGTGCACCTTCTCATACTCATTGGTTTCCTGCAGACTGGTGAGACGAGTCGACCGGATGGAACACTCCATTGGCAGCATTGTCTCCAAAATTGATGCTGTCATTGTGAAACTGGAAATCATGGAGAGGGCCAAACTGAAAAGAAGAGAGGTATTAGGAAGGCTGCTGGATGGAGTGACGGAGGTAAGAGGTTCTGTGATGCAGCTGAAGTAGAATAAAAATTTAGTGACACTAATCACACTTCTTCAGTAGCAATGTCTACAACGTTAACAGTGGAAGTACCTGGTACAGTAGCATTATGGAGGCTGGTTGCTACATTCAGCAGCACAAGATAATGTAAGAATAAAGCCAAGAGTGGATATTTCATTGGCTCACGATGAGAAGCAGGGAGTCATACTTGACACAGTACACCATCCTCCTCAGAGTACAGGGGTTCTAGTGGATCATTTCAGCTTACACTCCCAGTTCTAGTCATTATCATGCTGATTTGTGCTATTGGTCAAAAAAGAGAACAGTGTGAGCATATGAATGGATTAGCAGAAACCCATCACATTATTAGAGAAGCATACTGGCTGACTCAATGCACCTTGTAAATGAGTAGAACCATCTTTGTATTTGAAGGAAAGAGTTAGGTTTGAAAATTAACCATGTAAATCTCCCTTCTTTTTTTTACAGAAAGAATACCTATTTTTCCACCAGTATAGAAGTATAATAACAAATTTCACACAAAAGCGCTATAAAATTTTGCTCTATGATTTCTAATAAATAGGCCCAATTTTTTTGCATAGCAGAAATCAGAATTTGTGATTTTTCATCTTATTTTTCACTTGTGACTTTCACAGTATCTTTTGAACCTAATTAAATGTTTATAAATTATATTATAAATTAAACATATATAAATAAATTCATATTTCTGAATGTGAACTGTAGACATAAGATCATAGCTTTAGAGCTGGAAGGGACCTTAAAAGTTATGGAATTGAACACCCTCATTTTACAGATTAAGATTAAGCCTCTTCCCAACCAGATCCCCTAAACTCCTTCACATTTTTCCACATTTCAGAAGACATTCATCTTTCCTATAACTTCTAAGCTCTGCATCCCCTATCATCATCATTGTTTCTTCCTTCACCCTTAGGATGAAAGACTTGGTCGTGATAATGAAATACACAGGGAGCAGATGGAGCGCCTAGTGCGGGAAGAATTAGAACGCTGGGAATCGGATGATGCTGCTTCCCAAATAAGTCAGCGCTTAGGCACTCCTGTGGGGCCAAACGGCCAGCCACGTCCGAGGAGTTCCCGTCCTTCATCGTCCCAGTCTGCAGAAGGCATAGAAGGTGGAGGAGGAAATGGAGGCGCCAGTGTCCATGGATAGTCTGTGCCTTTCTGATGAGAAGCCAACACATCCTTAATTGCAGTAGTGAATATACTATTTATATCTCCTGACCAAGGTCTGATGTTGGTGGTCCCTTTGACTAATTGGTTTTTTTTCCACTGCACTTTAATTTATTGTATGCAGATTTCCCCCATATATGAAGGAAGATTTTTGTTTTCTTTTTCTCTTTATTGAGTATGGAAATGACCTGATCTCTTTTGAAAAATACTGAAAGCAGTATTGGGTTGCTATTGTGAATCTTACTATGTCACATCAGTTGATGATAAAGTAACCTTTTAAACCAGAAGCAATAATGCTTTTAAGAAAAAAAAAAGAATAGGATTTTGTTTCCAAACCCAAAATAAGTCAGTATTATGTCATATTTACAGAAGAGTTGAGGGAACATGGCAGTCCTAGCTTCAGCTCAGCCTCATCTGAACACTTCATGTCATGTCAAGCTTAGTTCTTAGCTTTACTTTTAATTTCTTTAAAAAGTGTTTGTTTCAACAGGGTGTCCAATACGAAACGTACATGAAGGACGAGAGAGACAGGGCCATGAATAGTCCTGCTTGGAATCTCTTTGCTTAATTAGCACATTTCTTTAACATTTATAATCACTGTCCACTTCTGGGTTGTTTATGAAGCCTGTATATAGAAGTAAAAACGTGGCAGAGCTGTCACATGAACATTGGTTTGACTGGATCCATAGGGTCAGATAAAGGTAAAGATTGATCCCAGGGTGGCCTCTGTAACACAAAGTCATTGAATAAGATCGGAAGGGATGTGGAGCGCTCGTTCTTCCCTGAATTAAATTAAACTCAATCTTTTGGACACATTGGTAAGAGAAAGAAAAGGTAAAAGATCTTTATACTTCTCAAATTGAGATAGAACCAAATGGGGAAATCAGGACTAACTCACTAAATGTATGTACTGAAAGATTAAAATTTTATAAGAATTACTTTATTAAAACGTTAATATTAGGATAGCATATAATCAGAATGACCCAGCTTTATGGAAAGGAAGTTTTGGTATTGAAAGTTAGATCATCACTGAAAGATTGGTTTATTTTGGATTTGTAGCTGCCAAATTTTGAAGCCTTACATTCTAAAGTGGAGATGATATATTTGTCTGAAGAAAAAAAATTCTGAGAGGTGAAAAGTTCTATAATTACTGAAAGCTAATGGTGCAATGGATAGAGTGCCAGGCCTGGAGTCAGGAAGAGTCATCTTCCTGAATTCAGATGTGATCTTAGATACTCACTAGCTGTGTGACCCTGAGCAAGTCACTTTATCCTGTTTGCCTCAGTTTCTTCATTTGTAAAATGAGCTGGAGATGGAAATAGCAAACCATTCCAATATCCTTGCCAAAAAAATTCCAAACAGAGTCAAAAGAGTCAGACATGACTGAAAATGACTAAGCAACAAGAGGAGAGAAAGATATTTCAGGGCTTGACCCTAACATCAAGAGTTGAAGGGAAATAGGGGCGGGATTATTTAGGATTTTTGGACTGTGGAAGTTGTTTACAGGAATTAGTGTTGGTCATCCATTAATTGAAAACATAAGCAAATTATGTCCCTTAGATTGGTTTCTAGAGCAAATACGCCACATTCCTTCAAAATACTTCCTCAGCCTGACTTTTGCACATATTGTCCTTCTCATGTTACACTTTTTTCTCAATATGCTATATCACTACAAAAAAACTATTTACTAAATAAGAAATCAATGTATTTGTATCACTAGGGTATGTGTGTGCATGTGTGTGTAGAATAACATGTTACTTGGGAACAAACTTCATCTTGAAGTGCAATAAATTTCATGGAATATCCATGTGTGTGTGTTGACCATGTACCAAAAAGCAACCGTGGCCAGTAGTAGTCTTTTATACACTCTATATTATTATGTTATTTTTGTTTTAAATGTAAAGATTTCATAAAGCTGTCATTTTTTCTTCACAACAGTTGCCATCTTCTTTAGTCATTGAAGAATGTAATCTTGCCTCCATCTCCTTTTCTTTCCAACCCCTACCCTCTGCTGGCCTTAGTCAGAAGCTCTTCCATGTTTTAGGTTTTCTACAGCGATCAAGAATTTTAATCATTTTCTAACTCCGAGCACTTTACTTCTTAATAAAGATTTGTATGTTACATATAACAGCACATGTATGAGTGGTCTTTATCAAAAGGGAAAAAAAACCTGGCTTATTTACTTACCACAATATTCTAATAATCGTAAATCATAGGATTATAGAATTTGAGTTGTAAGGGGCTCAGAAATCATCCTATCTGACTTCTTCATTTTACAGATGAGGACCTGGGACCCAGAGAGCTTAAGTGACTAAGCTAGGAACCTACAACTTCCCAATTCCAAACCCAGCACTCTGGTCTGGGTGCTCAGCCATCTCTCTTCTATTTTCCACACTAGAGTACTGCAATAGAGAATACTTTTGGAGCAAATGATGTACTTAGTGGTATACTGATTCCAGTTATTAAAGTGACAAGATTTTCAAAGCATATCAAAATCCCTCCCCAGCCCAAAATATTGGCAAAGATTCCTGAGACCTTATAGGGACCAGGAGTAGCCAGATTTAAGGCTGTGGGCTCCAGCTGGCCCCAGGACTTACAGGGATTCCTTTTTTTTTTTTAATGGTTTATTGAGGTAGTGTTTTGTTTTGTTTCTTTAATTGGTCATTTTTCAGTCCCACCTCCCTTCCCTTACCAAGAAAACCCTCTCATACAAAAAGTACAAAACAACTCGCACACTGATCAAGTTTCGCAACATATATGCCTCATTCTACATGTTTCCCACCCATCTCTACTGATGGGGGGGAAGCTTTTAGATCTCTTCAGGAAGCTAGAGATTGTGCTGCCAGTCAGATCAGAAGTCTACACCCTCATCTGCTCTGCTTCCCCAGCAGCAGATCACCCACCTGTCACAACCTATAGTAGATCCTCATGCTGACCACACTTGTCTGTCTGGCAGATGGAGGAGATCCAGGCATTTTCTCCGGCTACCTCCCATGCCTGGAATTCCTTCCTTCCTTTACTCCAACTACCAACCTCCTTAGCTTCCTTGAAGTCCCAACTAAAATGCCTTCTTTTACTGGAAGCCTTCCCCAACCCTTCTTAATTCTGATGCCTTCCCTCCATTAATTATTTCCTACTTATCCTGTATATAACTTTCTCTGTAAATATTTGTTTGCATATTGCCTCCCCCATGAGTTTTTTGACATTAGGAACTATGTTTTGCCTCTTTTTTGTTTTTATCCCCAGCACTTAGCACAGTGGCCGGCTCAGTGTAGGTGCTTAATAAATATTGATTATTTGATTGATTAGTCCTACTAGTGGTGCCTACTAAATCTAGGCACAGCTTTATAATTCTCACTGAATAATGAGAATTACTTTCCCAAAAGATTGAACCATTTCAAATTCCATCAGTAATAGAAGAGATACCTGTTTCAGCACAACCATGAAAACCAGAATTTTCATTTTTATTGTTGCCAATTTAATAGGTATCAGGTAGAAGGTCAGAATTGTTTTAATTTGCATTTAATTCTCTATTAATAGTTTTTAATATTTCCATGACTTTTATAACTTCTATTTTGAGGACTTCATGTTCATATACTGTCACCACTTATTGAAGAATAGTCCTTATATCCATATATTTACTTAATGTACTCATATATTTACTGTTCCTTTTGCATTTTGCATGCAAACTTTGTATGTTAACTTTTCATTAGAAGAAATATAATGCAATTTTTTTTCCTATTTATTTCTTCTGAGGCATAATGGATTGAGCACTTGGCCTGGAGTGAAGAAGAGTGAAGGTCAAATCCAGCCCCAGACACTAGCTGTGTGATCTTGGGCACTTAATCTCTGCCTCATTCCTTAACTATAAAATAGAGATAATCACACCTATAAATAGCACCTCCTAAAGTTGTGGTGAGCATCAAATAAGATAAAGCTCTCCACACATTGCCTGATACGTAATAAATGGCGGCTACTTGTCATTATTCTTACCTTCTTTTTCTGATGTCTTTAGAAGTTTCATTTTTAAAAAAGTTTCATTTTATATTATTCATTTTTGAGATTTGTTTTTCATATCTGTATTTTTACTCTGTTTTACCTTATCAACTCACTATTGCACTCTCCACAGCAGCTCTTCCTAACCCTTTCAGCTCTCCTCAAACCTCCCATGATTCCCTTTCTTCTGACTCTCTCAGCTGAGAATTTTGCCTGATATTTTACAGAAAAAAAAAGGCCATTTGCCCTGACCTCCCTGTTCTCACCTCTTTCTCCTATCACTCAGATTTCTTCTGCCACTATCTTCTCCTTTACCTTGGTCTGACACAAAGAGGTGGCCCAACTCCTCACCTAAGTAAACATCTCTACATACAAAAGGAATGTCATATTCCACATTGACTCCTTCATATAAACTACATTCTGCATCATCCTTATTCTCCGACTTATCTTCAGTCTCTCCCTGTCTGCTAACTCCTCTGCTGCCCACAGATATGCCCATGTCCTTCTTTTAAAAAAAAAACAACCTTCCCTTGATCTTTCCATCCATATGATCACCCTTTGTGGCCAAATCCTCTGAAAAGGCTGTCTACAATGGGTGTCTTCACTTCCTTTTCAGTCTCAACTCCCTACAATCCGACTTCCAACCTCATCATTCCACTGAAACTGATCTCTCCTAAGTTATCATTTATCTCCTAACTGCCATATTCAGAGGTCATTTTCCCACTCTCATTATTCTTGACCTCTTGGCAGTTTTTGCTATTTTTTTGACACTTTAATTTTTTGTTTTCACTGTTGCTTTTCTCTCTAGGTTTCTGAGCCACCAGATTGATTCTCCTCTTACCTAACTGTTCCTCATCCAGATCACACCTACTAACAAAACCCACTATCCGTGTGCCATGTATTCTATTCTCCCTCAATATGTTTCATTTGGTGATCTTATAAGCTCTTATGGATTTAATTATCATCTCCATACTGATGATCCCAAATCTACCTATCTAGTCCAAACTATCTCTCCTGACATCTAGACTTACATCTCCAACTCCCTTTCAGGCATCTCAAAATGGATGTCCAGTAGACATCTTAAAATCGTTAAGTTCAGGGGCAGCTAGGTGGCGCAGTGGATAGAGCACCTGCCCTGGAGTCAGGAGGACCTGAGTTCAAATATGACCCCAGACACTTGATAGTAGCTGTGTGACTCTGGGCAAGTCACTTAACCCCATTGCCTAGCCAAAAAAAAAACACCATCAAATCCAAAAACTGAATTGATTCTCTTTCTCCCTATGCCCTCCCCACTTCCAAACTACCCCAGGCTTACAACCTAAGTGTCAACATCTCTCATTCCCCATATCCTATGCTGCCAAGGCCTACTAATTTTACCTTTTCAGCATCCCTCAAATACACTCCCTTTTCTCTGTCACCACTCTGGTGCAGGTCCTCATCACCTCCCGATTAGACTATTGGACTAGCCTGCTGGTGGGTACATTAGCGAGCCCTCTCTGGCATCAAGGTAGCTCCACGACATATTCCTTCCCCATCCAGCAGGCTGTTGTGCCCATTTAAAAGCAATTTTCCCCAGAGGCTCTACAAAGCTTATGAGAGAAAATTTTAAATATAACTGATTTATTCCTAAGGCATTTTCTTTAGGGGGCACAAGTCACACTGAGCTCAGCAGCTGTTAGAGTCTAACATGAGAAAACAAAGGCATCATTTTTTAAAAAAAAAGTTTTTATTGGTATTTTCTGTTTCACACATCATAAGTATCTGTTATCCCTTCCCCTCCCAGAGAGCTGTCCTGTATGATAAACAGTATCTTCTTAGAGAGAAAAAAAGTCCCAGCACAACTGATTGGTACATTGAAAAAGTCTGAAAGATATGATCAGTGTGTAACATGTGTGGCCCTCCACCTCCATCTCAAGGTTGGAGATGTCTTCTCATCTATCTTCATTCAAGTCTTGCTTGATGGCTCTGCTTACTTTATTCTATATCAGTTCACATAGATCTTTCCATGTTGCTCTGTATTAATCACACACATAATTTCTTACAGCAAATAATATTCCATTACAGTCATGTATCACATAACAAATAGAGGGAGAAGAAATGGAAGCAGTGTCAGATTT